ATTCATCTGAGCAGTCAAAAGCGCGACTACAGCTCCAACCGACCCCCAGCTGCGCAAGATCCACCTCGCCCGGCCTCTGGGGGCGGGCTCGCCTCGCTCAACCCTTGGGTTTGCGCTCCGCCTCGCCCGATCTCTTAGAGGCGGGCCCGCCTCGCCCGACCCCGAGGTTTGCGCTCCGCCTCCCCCGACCTCTTAGAGGCGGGATCATCTCGTCCGGGACACTGAGGCGGGCTCGCCTCGCCCCAGACCTCTCGAGGGCTGGGTCTCGTCCGGACTCGGGCGGGCTCCTCGTCCAGACCCTTGGGCGGGCTTCCGCTCGCCTAGCCTCTGGGCGGGCTCTGCCTCGTCCGACCCTTGGATTTGCGGTCCACCTCGCCCGGCCTCTGGGGGGGACTCCGTCTCGACCGACCCCAAGGCCAGGGATCCGTCTCGCTTGACGGAGACCCATACCGCCGCCAACCACTCTAGGTCCAAGCGAATGGGCTTGGGTCAAAGCTCTGACACCAGGGAGGTGACCAGCACGCCCTGATATAACCCGTGGCTGTGACGGGCCATACCTGAGGATTCACATCAGGAACAACGTCGGGTGTACCGGTGTTGTTCTGCCTAACCCTCGTACGAGCACTGACATGCACGTTAGTCCACCACGACGTTCGCCAGGACGGAGTGGAGCGCCACGACCGGGAGACGACACTTGCGCATGGCGTCAGTGACAGACAGGGCCGCGATGTGGAGCTGTCCCTGTTGACGTCTATAGGGTCAACGGGACTCGCGTGAAGGAAAAAAAGGACCCGATGATCCTGGAGGACTTTTCTCCTTCTCATTCCATTCTTTTCCCTCCATTGTAACCCGTGCTTTCCCTTGGCCTATAAAAGGGAAAGCAGGGCGTCCCGTGAAGGGGATTCGAACCCATCGAACCTCGAACCGATCAGAACACACAAGCACACAGCCAGAAAGTGACCGAGCTCTCGACATCCGTTCGCTCCTCTCACCAGAGACTTGGGACCTGTCCCTCTCTCGACCATTTGTAACCCCTACTACGAACTTTCAGTACTAGTAACACGAGCAGCAGCAACGAACTGGACATAGGGATATTCTGTCCGAACTAGTATAAACCTCGTATCCTCTTAGCACATCATCCGAGCCAGACGCGCAATATTAGAAATTTACTAGACGGTGGCTACTCGAAACACCGACAGTTGGCGCGCCAGGTAGGGGCCTGTTGCGTCGTCTCGACATCCACACCAAGCCTCGGATGGCTAGTCACAACGTCAGCTGGGTCCCGGGCTCGCACGTGCGCTTCGAGGACCTGGACTTCATCGTTATGATGGAAGGAGAGTTGGCGTAGACCCCCGCCGCCGTCCAACCTCTCCACTTGTCCGGCCTCAACGTGATCGCCGAGGCGCTTGAGGAGCTGCAGCTACATACACCGGAGGCCCACGCGGAGGCAAGATGCAAGGTATGGAATCCGGGGGGCGAACCCTTTTGTTTTATAGGGGTGATGGATGCGAGGAAACCAACCGCCCGCCTAGATCTCCGCGCCTGCCACACGATCTGCCGCAACATCCCGCCACGGGACGTGCGCACGCAATCTCTGTCCGTTCCCTTGGAAAACTTATTAGATGTTTCGCCTCTCCGGACGGGCCACGACTCGTCATGAGTAAGAGGAATACGGATCTAAAAGCGTCTCTATGACCCGACTGGGCCTAGGAGTTCGCAGGTCAGCCCATCGATGGGTTTGACAACCGCTCCAGGCACCTTTAGGGTAAGAGGTGAAAAGGATAGGGCCCGCTAGCGGCCAATACCCGGGCGCTCGAGCGCCGCGGGCATCCCGGCCCACGTTCAAGTCTCGGCGGTTAGGATTCATGGTTTTTTTGAAGAAATGTACTTAGCCCTCGGGACCGGTCGAACGGACCCGAGAACTATATGGATTGATCGCTGATAATCTAGGGTCAGTCACCAAGCTGACCCAAGCCGGATCCCCGCGAACGGGATGCCCGGGGCCCCATTCAGACTAGCCCATTAACAGCTCACCGTGTGCCAAGATTTGTCCTTAGAGGAAAATCGTGACAAGGCTCGGCTCCTCCGTTTTTATTGAAAAAAACGTTTGAGGGAAGACAATCGCAAAGAGGAACCGATCCTCGATCGGTCCCTTGCTACGGGAGGAGGCTCAAGGAAAGGGAATCACCGCCACTAGGTCATGCTGTGGCAACAAAAGAAGGCCGAGACCTTCAGAGTCCTCCCGTTCGGAAAAGCCTCCGAAGGAGTATTTACTCCTCCGCAGGTTCGGGGCTACTGTCGGGGACCAATACTAGGGTACCCGAAGAGGAGGAGCTAATAACCATCAACATTGATTCATCCGAGCTGTCAAGAGCGTGACTACAGCTCCAACCGAACCTAGGTGCGCAAGCTCCGCCTCGCCCGACCCTTAGGTTTGCGCTCCGCCTCGCCCGACCTCTGAGGGCGGGCCCCACCTCACCCGACACCGAGGCCACGGGCTCCGCCTTGTCTCGGCCTCTGAGGGCTTTCTCCGCCTCGCCCGTCCCTTGGGTTTGCTCTCCGCCTCACCCGACACCGAGGCCGCAGGCTCCGCCTCGTCCGATCTCTGAGGGCTAGCTCCGCCTCGCTCAACCTCTGGGGGCGGGCTCGCCTAGCCCCACCCTTGGGTTTGTGCTCCACCTCGCCCGACCTCTGAGGCCGGGCTCCGCCTCATCCGACACCGAGGGCGTGGGCTCCGCATCGCCCGACCTCTGAGGCTGGCTCTGCCTCGCCCGGCCTTTGGGGGCGGGCTTCGCCTCGCCCGACCCTTGGGTTTGCACTCCGCCTCGTCCGTCCTCTAGGGGGGACTCCGCCTCGATCGACCCCGAGGCCGGGGGATCCGTCTCGCCCGACGGAGACCCATACCGCCGCCAACCACTCCAGGTCCAAGCGAATCGGCCTCGGTCAAAGCTCTGACACTCAGGGAGGTGATCGGCACGCCCCGATATAACCCGTGGCCGTGACGGGCCATACCTGGGGATTCACATCAGGAACAGCGTCGGACGTATCGGTGCTGTTCTACCTAACCCTCGTACGAGCACTGACATGCGCGTCAGTTCACCACGACGTCCGCCAGGACGGAGTGGAGCGCCACGATCGGGAGACGACACCCGCGCATGGCGCCAGTGACGGATAGGGCCGCGACGTGGAGCTGTCCCTGTTGACGTCTACAGGGTCACCGGGACCCGCGTGAAGGAAAAGAAGAATCCATCGATTCTGGAGGACCTCTTCTCCTTCTCATTCTCCTCTTTTCCCTCCACTGTAACACGTGCTTTTCCTTGGCCTATAAAAGGAAAAGCAGGGCGTCCCGTGAAGAGGACTCGAACCCATCGAACCCCGAACCGATCAGAAGACACAAGCACACAGCCGGGAAGCGACCGAGCACTTGGCACCCGTTCGCTTCTCTCACTAGAGACTTGGAACGTGTCTCTCTTTCGACCGTTTGTAACCTCTACTACGAATTTTCAGTGCTAGTAACACGAGCAGCAGCAATGAACTGGACATAGGGACATTCTGCCTCAAACCAATATAAACCTCGTATCCTTCTAGCACACCAATCAAACCAGACATGTAATATTAGAAATTTACTAGTCGGTGGTAACTCGAAATACCTATAACAGGAGATACTCAGTACTGCATCCTAGCAATAATCTCGTTGTCTTTTGGTGTATAAACAGTCAGACAAATTAAAATGTAGTCAAAGAACAGTGCAGTGCTAGTGTGCTGCACTGGGGAATGGGAACGCAGCGTGCAACAGATAGAAAAATTAAAAAGGAGGTTCAGGTCAAGCTGGAGGAAAACCTGGTACGGCACTAGAGCAGCAGCGTCATATTACGCGACAGGAAGTCAATAGTCGTAATTCCCGCCATGCATGGGTTCTCTGCAGTCTGCACCAGAGCCCAAGGCATTCCACAGCAGCACTGCAGCAGCTTCGTTTTTTATTGCGATGCATGGATACAAACCGCTGGAAACCTGTAACAGAAACGTATGTAGGACCAACTGGGCCGTCCGCTTCATTTGCCACGGCCTGTCGCTCTCCTCTTTGGTGGGCTGGTCATGTTGGCCCAGACGCAATCATCTTTTCTCTGGGCCGAGCGACCGCGGCGCCGGTATAGTTCGGAGACGGAGAACGAGGCCGAGAGGCAGGGGGCGCGTAAGTTTTCCAACCAGGGGAAAAAAATATGAGTTGATTTTTTTTAAGAAAAGAGAGGCTCTTTTATTGCTCATTGTTCAGGTTGCAATCTTGAGCCATAATTTGCTCGATACAAACTGAAACTACATTACGCCAACCAGCCAAACTGTTCGATCTCCACGCCAGTCGTGCGAGCTCATGTGCAGCGCGATTTCCCTCTCTTCTCGTGTGGACAACATTCCACCTCAGATATCAAACTTCCGATCTGGCTCGCCTCCTCCGCTGCTAGGCATAATGGTCCTCTCGATCCCTCGTAAGGTTCTTCAGTAGTGTTTGCACCGAGCACTGAAGTTGATCATCTCCAAAAAAAAAAAGTTGATCAGTTACTAGGAAAAAGATACCTAAAGGACCTTTCAGAGTCACAGACGTGCGTTAACTGAAGGAAAACAGGCAGAAACTTCAACAGTATCGTAGCAACAGTAACAAGGGATTTGTGTTATAAGTTGGCATAGGACAAAGGGATCGTTGTTCGGAGAAGCAAATATGCAGTAAACTTCATTGCATTCGGAGAACAGATTTTGGTCCAGTACATGAGTACATGTACAACTGAGATTCTGAAGCCTGAAAAGGAAGAGAAAAGAACCTAAACGGCCCAAAATTTGCAGGAAGGGTAGAGACCCGACACCCCTTTACATACACTGGGTTCTTTACTGCTTCCAGTATAACTGTAATCTTTCTTAAGAACAAGAATATTTCCCACATGTTCATCTTTGGCCGAGAAAGATCCAAAAAGAACCTGTACTAACCTGCACCATCTAGTACACCCATCTTAATAAATAAAATGGTCGATCATGTGGAAGATCACGTCAGCTCCATCAGAGTTCAAGAAATAGGTCTTGACCTGCAGCACAAAAGGAAGAAATGGAAAGAATGGATCAATGCTCAGACAGCGACTAACTTGTCTTTCTTCTTAACAAAACACTATTTCTAACTCATGAACTGATTGCCAGGGGGGTTAATCACATACCTGAATAGTGCTATGAGCAAAAATCCTTTGTCTACTTTTCTTGAAGCTAACATCTACCCTTTCCCATGAAAGTCTATTCAGACCTTTGAGCATCACCTCTGAAGTTACAAGGTAATCCGGTTAAGAGAAAAAGAATCTCAATAATCATAAAGACACATAACTAATTTAGCAGACACAAAAGAAGAACAAATTTATAGCTATGGATCAACGGCTCAACGTAAAAAAATATTATGAATGAACATGCAATTTCTTCATTCCGGCTAAAATAAGAGAACTTTGCACCATACCTTCCATTTCAGTAGTTGTTTTTGCCTGATAAATCATCGCATCTGAAAATTCAACATCCTCAACCTTTGGTCCATCCACATATACAATGTGTGGATATCTATCGTTGTTTATAAAACTTTGGGGCTGATGCACAGGAATTTTCAGATTCAGGAACCCAGCTTAAATACTAGAATGATTTTATAGTGAATATATTACCTTAGGAAGCTCGTGTTGACGACGAATTGAAGATGTCCTCCAGCCAACGATAACTAGTTTATTAGTTAAGGCCAAGGTTTTGGTAGTTGGTAGTTACCCAATAACTAAACCAATAGGCTTATATGATGTGAAAACTGGAAGGATTTACAACAAATTAACAAGGATACAGTCATTGCAAACATTGGAGTAAGCAACACGCCGCTTGAAAGAGCGGAGAGCTGACCTGCAGCATAAGAAAAGTGCATGTTGCAACATCAGCACTAACTCCACTTTTGTGAAACAAATAGAATTATTTTTTATTGCATACATGAAATGGAGACCACCATAATCAGTAACCATCTGTAGAAGAAGTGGTGGTTTCTCATCTTTAATATCTTTCAGGAAGAGATGTTTTCCACTTTTCCCAGCAATCCAAGACAAACGATATGCCATCTTTTCTAATTTGTTGGAACCACGAAGAAGTGGTATCTGCTAGTTCAGATCAGAAATCGAATCAGTCAAATATGTGGATTCACCATGGCTACAACAGATGCAGCCATGAGACCCGGTAGTGTTATACATGGGCCTTCTTAGATTTATCTTTTGAAGTCACAGAGTATAAATGACATTGTCTTTAGCATATTGATATAAAAGATCATGGTTGATCTCTAGCATTTGGGACTGTAAAAGTACAAATAAAGACTTGTATTATGTGTCACGTATGAAGAAGTAACACTGGGTACTAGTATGAATATGAGGAAACAAGTACATGCATTTAGTACAGTAGAGCAATCATATGTGAATTCTAGCAAGCAATCATGCAAATCAGATAAAAGAAAACGAGGACATCTTATGTTGTAGCACCTACAGGCACAAATTTGTTATTGTAAGGAAAATGATGCATCTAACTGATTACATTTTTTTATAAAACTCAGTTTATAATTAATTCCCACTCCCCTGTATAAAATTGGACTAATAATGTTATACAAAAAACCTACAAATTCAACAGGGATTACCACACATCCACACCGCAATAGGTAGGATACCTGAGAAAGTAATTAAACATCAAATTCCAAAATTAACAGTGGTTGAATTTTTTTAACTTAACCTGTTTGTGTGATCTTGTACCGAGGTGTGGTGTTGCAAAAGTGATGAAGTTAATAGGCTCCAAACCAGCAATTTTTCCTCCAAAGCTATGCTGGTTACTAGAATAGTCAACAGCATGATTCTCACACTTTTCATGAGAATCTTTTTGTGTCTCACTCTCATATAATAATGCAATAGCGTATCTTGCAATTAGTCCACCCAATGAATGTGCAACGAAGGAAATCTTGCGAAGCTCTGGTCTACTGTCAACAACAGAAGTTACCTTCATACAGAAAAGCAACAGTTAATTCAAAGAAACATGTGCAAGAAGCAATAGGTGCTGCTGTGATATTCGATAAAGGAGTTAATAATGAAAGAAGGGCAGAAAATGGCCATTAATGTAAATTATAGAATGTCCATTCTTGATTAGCTTTGCAATATAATACTGTTTCAACGTTAGTTCATTGGCACTTACCTCCTCTGCCAATCTTCTACCCATCACATCAACTCCATCAAAGGTTCGAGCAGCTGAGTTGCATCCACTGCCTGTGCCACCCAATAAAAATTGCCATTATATAGCCAAGCTAAGCAGAACAAAAACGGATAGAAGGGTGCTTGTTCAGATGTCAGATAAGTTTTTGGGATTAAAAGTAGAATTTTTCCTATTGCTGTTTAACTCACAGTGAACAACCACATCTTCAGGGTGTTTCTTGATGAAGTGTTTTGCTGCAAAATGCCAATTTTCTGCACTGCATAAATGAAGGGACACATGTTTGTAAAAGGTGGAAATGGGTGTCACCCAGCAATGATATGTAAAAAATCACTGAAGTTGACTTGTTCAGTTAGAACTATCATAAGGTGGAGTGGATATTTTAGTCGACTACAAGATTCATTCACGATTGCAAATTGCATGTGTAACCCTACCGCTTGAAGGCATTGCATATGAACGCAATGAACCTCACTAGCACTCTGGCAGGCTGTTTGGGGGTGCCCCGAGGGACATATGCCAACATTATAGGCTTACAGCATAGGCGTCAGATTGTCACTCAAGGATGACATATAACAGTGTGTTTTTTTTACTCGAGTAAAAGAAACTCATTCTCATTTCAAAAAAGAAAAAGAAAAACAATATTGTACATGGATCATAATCCTTGAATGAGCAGTTCAGGCTATAGCTGCTGTGTTCATGTTACTGAACAGTAATGCCTCGTATCCTAATGGATTCAAGGCTACTGCCAGTCTGCCACCAGTTAGTCCCAGGATCATCGTGCCATGCCTTTTCCCAAATTGCAAGGCAGCAAAATTTGGTAGAATACCTGCGGATGCAGATGTTCACTACTGCTACAACTGAAACTTTAAGTAAAGCCAAAGCAGAGTTTCAGAATGGGAGTGTAAAACAGAACCAATGATGGAACCAGATCCTCTAACGTACTGCGAACTACAGCAGGACGTGCCTACGCCCGATGACGTTCGTTGGGCATCCGACGGCGCAGCAGAAATAAGCACCGAAGCCGTCCAATTCTTGCCTCGGCCCATATACTCGACCGAAGCCCAGTTCGCTGAGCTCGCCGCTGAGTAAAAAAGGGCGCGAGACCGACGGAAAAGGGAGCGAGACCGGCGGAAAAGAGCGCGAGGCTGGCAAAAACGGGGCGAGGTTGAATGAAAAGAGCGTGAGGGAAGGAGTCGATCGTAGTGGAACAGCTTGCCGCAGGAACGATCTTCTCTACTCACGTAAGTCTCACGTCAATAGTCTGCCCTTTAATGTATTTGCCATGAATGGCTTACGGAATTCATCATAATTGCATCATTATGTTTCTATGAACTTGAAGGTCTCCTTTTCTCATGGATGAATCATTTAGTTGAGATCCTATTGCGATGGATGCAAATCAAAGCAAATCTAACACTCCTGTCATGGGAGAACATAGGTGTGTAATAAAACTTCTTGCTTCTTCGTTAGAAAATTTCCAGTCAACTAAAACTATTTGCTTCTTCTCCTTTGTCTATACATCCTTTGTCTATACAGAGAGGGCTTGATCCCCGGTCTAGTGCCTCACCTTGGCATGGAATTTACAAATTCTGACGAAGCTTGGGCATTTTGGCTTAGTTACAGTGGACAGAAGGCTTTGAGGTTAGAAATGGCAAGATTACATCATGTACAAGCACTTTTCAGGATTCATGTACAGTTTCCACAAATGCTAGTCCACCGAATGACTTGTTGATTAATGCTAGACTAAAGAAAAAGGATGTCCAAACAAAAAGTTCAAAACGAAAAAGAACCTGGCTCGATAAGAAGCACAAGGCTAGAAAAAAGAGAAAACAAAGCTACATCTCAGTTCGGTGAAGCGGGTAATAATGATGTTGTACATGGACAAGAGGCAGTTAGTGGTGGAGCACAAGCACAAGAGGGATTATCTCCATTGTTTCCTGAACCCTTTAATTCAAGTGGTGCACAAGCACAAGCACAAGCACAAGCACAAGGTGCATTCTGTCCATTTTTTTCTGAAGCTTCAAGTTCAGGTGGTACACAAGCACAAGCACAAGTTAGCTTCACTCAAATGTTGACGGTAATATGCTCATATAGCTATTTTACAGATGTTGAGATAATATTTCGTTTTTAAAAGAACTTACTTCTTCATTTAACTTACAGGGACCAATGACCAATGACCTTCTTTCTAGATTCTGGTGATGTTGTTATGAAGAGCTATTAGCATTTTGAAGTATCAGCTGTATACAACATAGCGGATGCTCCCAGGTGGATATAGATGTTCATGTTTCTTTGGCCACAAATCAGTTATCTAGTGCTAGATGCTATGCTCCCAGGTGGACAAAATCAGTTTTTTTGTTGCCAGTTTGCAAGTATCTTGGAAGCCAAAACTCTAGTTCTGTACATATAATTTAGCTTTCTTTTGCTATGTTGCAAATGAGCATTCCAGTACCATTGGTACATATTCAACCATTCAGAGTTCTCAAATCGAAACAATCATCACAACAGCACTGAAGTATCAAATTCACAATAATTATACTCTCAAATTGGCAAGAATTATCCAATCATCACAAACAAGGTTGAGCCACAATCTCAACTGACAACAGTTATACAGTGACAATTCAACACAACTACTTGTCTACTGCTAGTCTGAACTTTGGAGTTCGGCTTCTCAAGGTGCATATGAGGACAGCTGTGCTGCACGCGGGAGACAGCGCGGGCACGAGCTCAGGATAGGACGGCGGAGGCGGGCGGTGGAGGAGAATACTTTCCCGGAGACCTGCTTGCCTGCTCCAGTGCTGAGGGAGGCCGCGAGCAGCAATAGCCGCCGGCCGGCGGCCATCTTCGCGGGCACTGCAAGGCGGCGAGTGCTTGGAACACTCCGTTCCTTTGCAGAGAATGAGGGCAATGGAGGAGAGAACTTGCCTAGGGACCTGCTTGCCTGCTCCAGCGCCGGGGGGAGGCCGCGAGCAGGGAGCAGCAACAGCAGCTAGCCCGGCGAGCAGGGCGCGGCGGCGGCGGCGGCGAGTGCCTGGAGCACTCCGTATATTTTCCGACTTGTGTTTTGCGTTTTCTAAATGTGGGCCGTGTCGAGTATATGGGCCGAGGCAAGAATTGGACGGCTTCGGTGCTTATTTCTGCTGCGCCGTCGGATGCCCAACGAACGTCATCGGGCGTAGGTACGTCGCTCTGCTGTAGTTCGCAGTACGCTAGAGGATCTGGTTCCCACGAGACTACTGACTGCTACTATTTCTGACAGTTTTGAAGACAGTTCTCTGCGGTTTACTACATTCACGGGGACATCAGTCATTGGCATAGGAAACAAAGAACGGTAAAATTAACTTCGCGCTGGTCTGTAACCAGAACACTATCGTAATATCTATAATTCTGGTCGAGAACTGGTTTGGCGAATTGAGCTTCAGCTCGTTAATAAGGGAAAGTAAGAGAATAAATAGAACAGAATAAAGGAAGAAAGCGAGGAAAGGCAGAAAGATCACCTTCCGACGATCCCATTGACCGTGACGACCAGATGCGTCGGCTTGGGCTTGCTCTCCCCCTCGCCGGCGCCGTGAGCCGAGGAGCCCTCGTCGGCGGCGGACACCGTGAAGCACCCCGGCCGCGGGAGGCACACCGCCCGCAGCCGCCGCCTCCTCCTCCTCTGCCTCTTCTGGTCATCGCCCTCCCCGCTCGCCATTTTCCCCTCCCTCTGACTGTCTGAGGCTCTGACTCGGCCGTGGGCGTTGGGGCCTCGGATCTTTTTTTATAGGCTCGTGCTGGGATTCTGGAAGCCGTCCAGACCAAAGACCAGGACTTGCGCTGCAGGTGTTTGGATTCAGCGCTGCGGACCTGCGGTCGCGAGTTGCGACTGGCGAGAGCGAGCTTGGCTGCCGAGGCGTGGCGCGGAGAATTGAACCGATGCTTCTGCTCTCCGCAGCACTTCCACTGCGCCTTGGCTGCCCTGCCGTCGCGGCCCAAGGCTCCCGGTCCCGGAGGCGGGAGGCCCGGACGGAGATTGTTCGTTCCTTTGCCTGCGGTAGCTGCCCATGCGGGTTTTTGCGCTGTGTTCTCCAGAGGTCACTCGGCCGCTCCGACGCTTTCCCTTTCTGCTTGGTGCTTTCCTTTTGGATCTGTATCATTCGGTTGATTTGGCCTATCCTATCGTTCGGTTGATGGATAAGTCCAAATCAACCGAATCTACAGGGTGCCATAATCACATGATCAAACATAGATAAACATATGAATTTAAGACCCTCTGATCTACATCCAACGATGAATCATACAAAACAAACAAATTAACAATTACAAATTAAAAATAAAATCTGACAATTATAAACAGAAGCAAAATTAAAAAAGAAACAAAATTTACATCACCCATACACCAAAATTACACTGCACAGATTAATGTAAATATGCAAATATGAAATTGTAAATACAATTGAACAAAAAAACAATCCAAATACTAGTTAGCCAACAATCAATTTGACCACAGCATGCAAATAATCAAACGAAAATGAAAAATAAAAATAAAAAAAATAAAGGAACATGAAGCAAAAGCTGTACCTTCAAGTCAGCAACAGTTAGTGCCTCTCTGTGATAAAAACCAGAGATTCTCCACTACTAAAGAAGCAAATAGGAAATCCTGAACCCTAAAAAATAGCGAACATTTGAAATGTTACCTGTCAGCTAAAACACTCAAAAATACAATTTGCTTCAGAAGGATTTGCCAACAACCATGAAAAACAGCTGCAACAATGAATCAATGTGGTGCAAACATCTCATCTTTTGCATCATAGGCCACAAACAAGAGAAGGAGCTCACAAATAAGAAAAAAGAACACATTGAAAAAATGTCAAGAATAACAGCAAATAATAGTCACCAACAATACAAATACTTCAAAAATTCAAATATTTACAAATTTTTTCTATGGCAGCCAAATGGCAAAGATAAATAGGACATATACTTCACAAATTCACAAATTTACACTAATCTCATACCAAAATTACACTACACAGTTGACTGTAAATTTAGAAATAGGAAAATGTAAATCCAATCAAATGCCAATGTAAATGAATGAAGATGAAAATGACAGTCTATTGACTACATGAATGGCAGATATTGAAAAGTGTGAACATGTCAATGAGCTCCCACTTGCCATGCATGGTGTCATACTTGAACATGTACACATGACAAAAAGTTGAAAATCAAATAAATTCCAAATTTTTTCTATGGAAGCCAAATTCAAAAGAGAAATATGGCAGATACTTCACAAATGCTAGAAATTCCAAAAAAAATTCTATGGAAGCCAAATATAAATAGGAAATATGGCAAATACTTCACAAAGACACATACAAATCTACAAACAGAAGATTAGAAAGGTGAACAAGGAAACTTACGACTGCTTTAAAATCTGTACTGCCAAATTTACAGCTTATGTCAACCAATGAATGAATTACACTGCATAGTTTAGTGTAAATACAGAAAAAGGAAATTGTAAGTGCACTAGTGAAAGATAAATCCAACTATATCTCACTCATACTGCCTACTAACTACATGAACAGATCAAAAAATCGAATACTCACCAACAAAGCAGAAAAGACAATCAGCAAACGTCTGTCTCAGCCACTGTCCAAACAAAAGTGGAAACGGAAACAATTCCACATTGAAATCCACCTCCACCTCAGCATACCAGAAATAACAAAAACAAAAAAAAGAATCAATCAAATATCTATAACTTACATCACCCTGTCATACAAATTACACTTGAAAGTTTAGTGTAAATACATAAAAAAGAAACCGTAAAAACAGTTAATAAACAATGTAAAAAAGGCATATGTCAATGATTGCGCCTAGTAACTACAAAAGCATGTTAGAACTAGAAAAACACATGCAGAGCACAAATCTGTTAAAACTTTGAGATATATAAAGCCAAAGAGAAAGACACTCACAGAGCCAAGTAAGTTGAAAGACACTTAATTCCAATAACACAACATTATAACAGAACCAAAGGAACCTCAAAATAGTGCTCTTTACACACAAAGAGCCAAGTAAACAGATCAACACAAACAGGGAGTACCATATTGTGGCAGAACCGTCTAATCTAATGCCTCCTAGGAGTACTCGTCTTCCATTAGACACTAAGTATTCAAGGGAGGACACCAAATTGCGTGGTTCCGTCGAGCACACCCCAAGGGAGAACCCAAAAATCCACATTTTCTATCATGATCACAAATGAAAGAATAAAGCTTACAATATTTTAGCCATTTCTTACATCACTTTTAATACAACATCATAGTTATGAACAATTTAATTTAACAGCGGAATATAAACATGTGATCAGAATTACAGCGGAAATAAATATCTATTCATGACATGATGAAGCATTGATATATAAACAATGACAACAGATTATAAAACTTTCATTTATAAAACATTTAGTGAGAGTTATAAGTAAAGACTATGATCGCAGCGTAAAGGAATCCTCTCTGAGCCTAGGCCAGAGTAACCAACAGTTCAGTGGTCATAAATATATGACTGAAATGGAGAAGGCACTTATAAGGACTTTGAATGACAATAACATTCCTACAAGAAAATGATCTCTATATTGTCATACCTCAGAGGAGGACCCACAACATTACCAGTGAAGAAAAAGGATGTCAGCAACTTCAGAACAAAGATAAACAGAGAACTTAGAGGAACATATATGACAAAGGTGCTAGACAACTTTAGAAAGAAGAAGAGTGAAGATCCTACATTCTTCTACAAATTTAAGTTAGATGATAAGAACAAAGTCAAGAATATATTTTGAAGAGATGGATCCTCCCTGAAATATTATGCAGACTTTGGAGACTGTGTCAGCTTTGACACAACATATATGACAAACAAATACCAGCTGCCATTTGCACCTTTTGTCAGAATCACTGGACATGCACAGACATGTATCTTTGGATGTGCTTTCCTACAAGATGAGACAACAACAACATTCAAATGGGTGCTTGAGACATTCCTAGAGTCAATGGGTGGGAAACACCCTGAAACTATAATAACAGACCAAGACAAAGCTATGAAAAACAACAATTGAAGAAGTGATGAAAAACACAAGGCACAGGAATTGCCTTTTCCACATCAAAACCAAATGCTACTCAAAGAACATCAAAGTTTTCACAGCTAAAGATGGACTATATGAGGAATTCGAAGACATAGTGAACAACTCTGTCACAGAAGAAGAGTTTGAGTACTTGTGGAGCGAGATGATCAAGCAAAGAGGCCTAGAGAACAACAAGCACTTGACAAAAATGTGGGAAACAAGGAAAAGATTCATACCAATTTACTACAAAAATGATTTCTTCCCTTTCATCCAAAACACATCAAGAAGTGAAGCTGCAAATGCAAGATTCAAGGAAATTGTGGGTCCAACCTATAGTATTATCAGCTTTGTGGCAGAGTACCAACGCATAGTTGACAGTATAGATAGAGCAGAGAACCTAGAGGACCACTACAACAACCAAAAAAGACCAAAGGAACTACTTTTTGGGTACACATTTGAGAGGCAAGCACAAGAGTTATACAATAGGAGCATATACAAGAAATTCTAGGTTCAACTAGCAGCTACTTCAACACTAACTTACAAGGAAATCGAAGAAGGAAAGATATTTGAAGTCTGGCAAAGAAGTAACCAAGTATACAAGGCACAAAGGATCAGGATATATATAATCCTAACTAACCTCACACATGGCAAAGAAGAATTCAGTTGCATCTGCGCCAAAGACGACATATTGTGCTCTCATATCCTGAAAATCATCATAGAGAAGGAAATTAGCACAATGCCAGACAAGTACATAATAGATAGATGGAGGAAAATGATATGAGATTGATCAAGCAAAGAATAGAGGACAAAATAGTCCAAACAAGTTCATTGCTAAGATTCAATATACTATCAAGGAAATATGCTCTTATGAATTCAAAGACAGCTAAAAAAGAAGAAGCAATAGATTACCTTATAGCAGAAATGGGCAGGATTGACTTGCACCTAGACAAGTTACTAGCAACTCAAAGCACTGGGGAAACATAGAATGAACCAAGACCAGATGAACAAGAAGAAACAGAAGGAGAAAAAGAAAATGAAGACTATGATACAGAGAACCAGATACAGGATCCAGAAATAATACAAAATAAGGGCAGGCCAGAAAAAACAAAGAGAATGAAGACACATATAGAACATGTAAAGGAGAAAATAAGGATCAAAGAGAGCAAGAAGAAGAAAACAACAACAAATGAAAGTTCAAGTAAAAATCATATAAAGCGGCAAGTAAAATTCATTGCAAACATAATATCATGACAAGACTGAAAAAAATTATTAACACAACTGCATTCACAACTATATTTCTTCAACACAGGATTGCCAGTTGAAAGTGCTAATCTAGTTTATCAAATGATCATAAAATAGGTAGCACATTCCAAGTGGTGAAGCAAATGAAGATCATGACATGATGATGGTGATGCCATGATGATGATCAAGTGCTTGGACTTGAAAAGAAGAAAGAGAAAAACAAAAGGCTCAAGACAAATGTATAAATGGTAGGAGTCATTTTGTTTTGGTGATCGAGACACTTAGTGAGTGTGATCACATTTAGGATCGATAGTCGTACTATTAAGAGGGGTGAAACTCGTATCGAAATACGGTTATCAAAGTGCCAC